TTTATCTTTCAATTTCTTTTCAATTTTTTGTGGGTTAACCCATTACATTTTTAATTATTCCCACAAAACAGTCACCCCCCAAAAAAGTGATTTTTCCGAAGTCCGATTGCAGCCATTTTTCAAGTGGCAACCCTCAACTTTCTCGGGCACTTGGGACCATTTTTCAACCGTAGTTTTTCGCCCTTCTGCTCTCATATGAAAGTATACTGTACTTTGATCCTTCATTCATGCACCCAATGTATTTGGCATCGTCAGCGCCATCTATAGTCGAGAAACTATAGTCCAACTTAAACTTTGGGATAAATGACCTATGAGATTCATTGAGGATTTGTGAACAATTAAGTCAGAATGTGAAGAAAGGCAATTAAGCATCCATTTTTCGTATACTTCAGTTTCATTTTATTATACATCGCGTGAAACACCTTCTATTGCATTGTGTTATTCATGCACTTGCAAGGCGCAAAGATGTAACGTAACTCGGGCGTTTGAGCACCGATTTTAGCGATCAAAATGGGAAAATATGGTTTCATAAATGGTCAAAATGGAATGCCACACTAGTTTTGAGCATATCATGAAACTGGATGTTTGTTGAGAAAACAATAGGCAAAGCCCACTCACCACCCAGTCAAGCGAAGGTCAAGCCCCAGCTGCCGTTTTGCACTCAGCTTTTAACAAAATCCCTTGAGGGCGATAACAGTAGCTGATAAGAGATCCTCTAAATCCTGGTTGGACCTGCCAGAAATCCGGAGTTCAGGTTGCTAAATTCGGGTTTTCTGGTAAATGACAATTCACAGCATGGCATGGCCACAAATAGTGCATAACAAGCAAAAATAGCAAGAGTCAAGTGGCACGCTCTCTGGCAATAAAGGTACAGAATTAACAGGTGCCAGTTAGCTACAGTATGTACATGTAAAATGTTTGGCACCATACGCTATTTCCAACATCACGCAGTCATAAGGCTCTTTCTCATTGCGCTAATTTTCCACAGTGCAGAATTAACGGCCCTTAATATTTTGAAGGCAATCCCTGCCTATGAATAGACAAGGTTTTATCACTTTAAAATTAACATCAATTATTGTGGCGTAGAAACCGTCTAACCATATTCAACATACATCACAATATCAAGTTGAACAGCCACAAATAGACCGAGAGCAAAGACTATGTTGCTTCAGCTGCAAAGGAGACAGAAATAATTTGAAGACAAATGCACATTGTATCTACAGGTGGCCTCTTCTATTTCCGTTTGTGCTTTTCCTACGGAGCCAGTGGTGCCCTTGATTCATTCCATGTTCTGCTTGTTATTAAAGCTGCAGTTAAATTACTTACAAACAGTGTTGTACTCGAGACCTGGATGCCCAAGACTGAGACCGAGACCTTGAAGTTAGAGCCAAGACCGAGACCTGAAAATCTGAGACCTTGTGTTCAAAAACCGCAAAAAAATCAAAAATCAAAAATCAAAATGGCAAAAAAGAATGACAGCGGAACAGCACTTGCATGGTTTGATATGTATTATATTTTTTGCAAGGTCAGGTTCCCCCTGTACATTTAAAAGTTAACATTGTGCAACTGAATTTTCTCATCACTCACGCTTCTTGGGGTTAAGATTCAAAACAATCCTAAATGGGAACAGCAGGTTGAACAAGTTATTGCTAATGCATCATGATGACTTTATATTTTTAAATTTAACAAACTTTTTCAATGTGATGTTACGGCCTTGCAGCAGTTGTTTCTTGAAAAAATATGTTCAATTACAGGTGAATTGGGAATGCGGCCAATGTGAGGCTTGATATCATAGTTTGTAGAGGTTGCAGGTTGTATTCCCGTTCCAGTAGATTTTCCTTGCAAATCTTTCCTTAAACTCTTTCACTGTAACCAAGTTGTTGTTTGTTACTTCTTATTTGGTTGAGTGTAAATAAATAAATATTAATTAATTGATTAATTTAAAGGACTCCCTTGTTGTATTTTAAGAACATCAGATTGGACAAGATGTCTGTTGATAAACGTACCGCATGGGGTCGCATGATGATTCTGCCCTTGTTGAAGATCCTTTACACAGGAGCTGATGTAGAGAGTGTCAATTTAAGGACACCCCCATTTTTTTTATGGAATGGACAAATCTCTACCTTTCTTGCATTTTACTGAGTCACCCCTCTTATAGAAATGGAAGATGCCTGGCTAAGCAGTGAACAGGAGGGTACTGACCTTGTGTGGCTGTATTGGTCACTTGTGGCAGAACCTTGCAAGTGAACAGTGCAAACACTCAAGGTGTCCCTTCCTGCCCTCTGTTTTACAGGTATGTACTTTTTTTCCTTGATTTTACACCTCATAACTAATCAATAGAAATGTAGTGTTAAGATTCTGTACTTGTTAAAGTTTCATGCAGTTCTTTGAATAGATAACAGATATGTTGTTTAGGGATCTCTGCTGGTGATATCAAGTTCTTGTTTATGGTTTATCACATTGCCTTGAGAATTCCTTCACCTCCTTCAGACTGTACTTAAGTGAACTTTGTTTGAAACTTGAGGAAAGTTTAGAATAGTTTAGATGGTGATGATCCTAGTTCCCAACAAAGTGTAACTTGCATAGTACACATGAACTAGAGTGAGGATGTTCCTTTGGATTAGACCTGTGAAATCCAAGTTATTTTACAGAAGTGATTGAATTGCTAGAAAGTTCAGAATGTATAGAATTGTTCTTATTATCGCTGATATTACTTTCTATCCTCTAATTTAGAATAGACTAAAGAAAGTTCAAATGTAAATTTATTACATATGCACAAATTTGATGCCAGTGTAAAAGCATGGTACATGTACATGCATGTGCACAAAGACATGCACAGTGTAAGGCCACATGTAGGCACACATGGTTTGTGGTTTTCCAAGAAAGAGACAAAGGGTTGTTTATTAGATGTTTGCTCTAGCCTCCAAGGCAGAGTACAGCCTGAGGCAAGGTAGTGTCCATGCTAGCCTGGGATAATCTGTTGTTTAGCTCGTTGTGTACAGCCTCCCTCTTTGTTTTGTTTAAAAGACAATTGACAGGCTAGGAATGATTTCTTAGAGGTGTAAGAGCTTTGGCCACTGGAATTCTTAAAGGTATTACCATGTATAGTGTACTTATAGGATTCCTAAGAGTGATCATTAACCCAAGCATGGAAAAGGACGAAGTCTTTGAATATAAATCTATTCACTAGCCTTGTACATAAAGTTCAGAGTAACTTTTCTTTTGATATCATTCACATGATTGAGTTTATCCATTAAAATGACTTGTGGCAGAACCTTGCAATTGAACAGTGCAAACATTCAAGGTGTCCCTTCCTGTTTTACAGATTTTTTTCGCCAGCCTCAGTCACCCTGTCCGCATATTACATTTTGGAGGCACAAGAGGGATGAGCATGTCACTCTGGCTCACCACCCTGGGGCAGAGAGGCGCCATTGTGCTCATCCAGTGATGTGGACCCAGCGGTTGTTTCCAGCATAAGCCGGTGAGCCCTACTCGGCTGTAACAGTGGAAGGAGGCTGAACCTGACGCACAAGGAACCGGGTGAGTGGAGGAAGTTGTACCTTACGTCACCTGATCAAGAGAGTAGTCGAGGCTAGGCAACAGGACCCACCTGTCACAGCAAAGATGGAGGATGCTTTGCAGGCTTACGAGTTGGTGACAACCAAGTTGAGTTGTCTCACCACGGCTAAGCTTGAGCAAGTAGCAGTACAACTGAAGCTGGTACTCAAGGAAAATGACAACTGACTACGGCTTCTTAGACAAATCACCAATCACTTGAGCAGTGATGAAGTTCAAGAGATGCCAGATGAGGGGCTAGGACTTCTAGAGGGCATCGCTGAATTTTCGCAGGGTATTGACGCATCGTCCACAACGCATGAGGAGACGCCACCCATCGCTCCAGTCCCCGAGGAACCCGCACCAACGAAAGCGGACACAACAGCCATTGCTGCCACTTCACCCACTCCAACAGCTGTTATGAAATCTGATACAAAGATGGTGCAGATGCTAGCAAGGGATTTAAGATCTCTGCACAAATTGGCGATCCTGGCCAGACAGATCGCCTCACTTTCGTCAGCCTAGCTAACCAGCTGGAGGCAGGATTGGAGAAGGGTTACTCGGACCGGGATATTGTCCGAGCAGTGATTCGCGCTATTGTCCCGGGTTCCCCCCTACGAAGTTATCTGGAAGGGAGAAGCAAGTTATCGTTGCCCAGTTTGCTTTGCATATTTCCTGCTCATTTCCAGGAGAAAGAGGCCACTGAACTGTATAAACAGTTGTCTCAACTGACACAGGAACCCAAGGAGTCACCAAAAGCTTTTCTGCTTCTTGCACTTGACCTGCGTCAAAAATAATCTTTGCCAGCCAGGAGGCCAACTCCCCATTGTCTTATGAGCCACACAGATAGTACAGCAGATGTTTTGACACAGCGTGCTCACGGAGCTGCGCAGTGATGCCATCAAGATGGAAGTCCCACCACACCTGGATGACCCCGAGCTAACTGACGAGGCCTTGTTTGAGAAGCTTAATGTCTGCTCAAGCCTTGAGGCAGAAAGGAAAAAGAAGTTGGCAACCCTCAGTGAGGTCCAGGAAGTGGGCCCAGACAAGAAGTAAGCCCCCAAAAACAAGGCCTGCTGCTAGCAGAGATTAATCATCTGAAGAATGGCATCGCTGAGTTGCCTTGCCTAAAAGATTAAGTAAGTAGCAGCACTCCAAGCATCCTTGAGTGACAACCCCAGGAGAACCTAACCAGCGGCTAAGTCAAAAGCACGTGTGCGCCGTGGATGCTAGGACTGCCAGCAAAACGGCAGAGGAGAAACTTGTGACCAGTGCTTCAGATGCGGATCAGCAGAACACTTTGCACGGGGCTGCCGTCAAGCCAGAAACACACATCAGGGAAACAATGGACAGCTGCACCCGGGGGACAGAGTGTAGCCAGATCCAGAAAAACGTCCCAGTTCAAAGAAGTAACATCCCCTTCAATGCCTACCGTCTGTCACATCTCGCCTCAGCATCACCACAAAATCACCAAGCTTGTGGGTCACCGTTGCACCATAGATTGATACCTCAATGACGTTCCATCAACTGTGTTGTGGGACACTGGAGCCCAAATTTCCTTGGTTAGCATCACTTGGCTTCGCCACAACCTGCTTGAGATTGTTATTCATCCAGTTTCAGAGCTTGTCCAGTATGAGCAGAATCTTGATCTCCGAGCTGCCAATGGTACAACAGTTCCATTTGAAGGTTGGGTTGGGATGGAGATCCAGATGAAAACACCCAAGACTTGGCTGCAGCTGTCCTTTCCTGCCTTGGTGACCAATGACCAGCTGCAGCAACCTATCATAGGTTGCAACGTAATAGCGATGGTCGTCAAACTTTCCGGTTGGGATGCAAGCAGCATAGTGGGGGAGGCCATCAAAAGCATTGAGCTAACCCAAGCTGAAAAGTTGGTCAACTTGATCCAGACCAACAATCCGGAGGAGATCAGCATCATTAAGTCCGGATGAAACAATGTAACCATCCCCAGCCACAGCAACACTGGTATCCGGTGCCAGACACACACAGGACTGACAGAAAAGATGACAGTACTCTTTGAACCTGCAGTTGAAAGCCAGTTGCCCGAAGGTCTCCAAGTGGACAAGACTGTCGTAAACCTGACTCCAGGTAGCCATTTTAACGATCAGAGTGACCAACACCACAAGCCAAAACATTACATTGCGTCGGCGGAGTCTCCTGGGACACCTTCGATTGATCCACTCAGTACATCCCATAGAACCCTCAGTGTTCCACAAATGGACCCTATGTCCTACCAAAACTGATGCCCAGCATCACACTGTAATAAACAGTGTATCATCGGAGAGCAATTGGCTACCACTGGTGGACCTGAGCCATTTGGCACAAGCACAGAGAGCTGCTGCAGAAAATCTACTCCGAGAAGAATCGGCAGCATTCGCCAAAGATGAAACTGACTGAGGCTGCATACATGACCTTCAGATGAAAATCAAGCTGCGTGATGAGGAACCCGTGCGGAAGACGTACATGTCCATGCCACGCCCGCTGTATCAAGAGGTCCACACATACCTGGCAGACTTGATTAGCCGGGATTGGATTATTAAATGCACCTCACCATAATCATTTCCAGTGGTCTGTGTAAGGAAAAAAGATGGCAGCCTTCAACTCTGCATTGATAACCGGGATTTGAATCAAAAGACCATGCCTGATCGTCAGCCAATCCCTCGGATCAAGGATGAGCTAGATAGCTGGGGGCAACCACTGGTTTTCTGTCCTTGACCAGGGGAAAACTTACCACCAGGGTTTCATGACTGAAGAAAGCCGCCACCCTTACAGCCTTTATCACACCTTCGGGACTTTACGAGTGGGTCCAAATTCCTTTTGGACTCACAAATGCCCCAGCAGTCTTCCACAGGTTTATGGAAACCTGCCTAGATGGCCTCAATGGGGAAATTGCGATGACTTACCTCAACGATTTTGTTGTCTTTAGTGACAACTTCCAACACCACGTTGATCACCTAAGGCAGGTCCTGAAGCGGTTGCAAGCTCATGGTGTGAAGTTACGACCTAACAAGTGCAAGCTCTTTCGATCAGAGGTACGTTACTTGGGCCGACTTGTGTCAGCAGAGGGCCATCGGTTAGACCCATCTGACATTGCTGCCATCAAATCCCTCAGTGAGAGAAGACCAGACACCATTGGAGACGTGAGAAAATTGCTTGGCCTAATTGGGTACTATTGCAGTTACATCCAAGATTTTTCACGTATCTTAAGACCTCTTTACGACCTACTGAAGGTGACACCTGGTGTTGGGCAGGGCAGCCAGAGGACAAACACCTGAGGAAACACCAAAGGCAAGATGAAGCCAGGACAAAAGCTGTCAAAACAGAAAGTGGACTGGAAGGACCATCATCAGAGTATCCTGGAGAAGATCCGGACTGGAAGGACCATCATCAGAGTATGTATCCTGGAGAAGATCCTTGGTTTCCTTTTGTCACCACCTGTCATGGCATTTCCCAACTACCAGGAGCCATTTGTCTTACATACTGATGCCTCTAACGAGGGACTTGGAGCAGTACTATATCAGCGACAACAAGAGAAAATGCGAGTCATCGCTTATGGGTATCGAGCACGCAGTCTTGCGAGAGGAATTGTCACCTTCACTCTAGGAAACTTGAATTCCTGGCATTGAAATGGGCGATAACGGAAAAGTTCAGGGATTACCTTTTCTACTCACCAGAGTTCACTGTCTATACAGACAACAATCTCTTGACTTATATCATCTCCACGGCTCGATTAAATGCCACAGGGCATTGATGGGTGGCTGAGTTAGCCGATTTCAAATTTCACTATACGTACTGTTCTGGCCGGAACAACGCTGATGCAGATACACTCTCCAGGTTACTGCTGGACGTAGAAAAGTTTATGGATGACTGCACAGCTGAAGTGGCCTGTAAAGATCTCGGCGCCACCATCAATGCCATACAAGCCCAAGGGAACGGCATGACCACGTGGGCTGCAACCATTGCCATAAGCCCTCCATCCTCAACACCAACTGCGAGTGGCCAGATACTCAGTAGGGATGACATCCAACGAGCTCAAGAAGAGGACCCGGCTGTCGCCCGTGTGATCTCCTATGTCCAGAAGGATCGGCGGCCACACAGAAAGCAACAAACACGGGACCATCCAGACACAGTTGCCTTGTTACGTGACTGGGCCTATCTTAGTCTCGAGGATGGCCTTCTCCTCAGAAAGAAAGGATCCCAGACCCAGGTGATAGTTCCACCACAGCTTCGTCCAATGGTCGACATGGAGCTCCATGATAACATGGGACACATCAGTGCGGGGCGTGTCCTTGACCTGGCCAGGGACTGCTTTTTCTGGCCGTACATGCAGCGGGACGTGGAGAAGTACTGCATGAAGGTATGTCCCTGCCTCAAGGACCGGAAACCTGCCCAGCAGACACGAGAACCCCTTGGTAAAATTGCCACTACCGCCCCCTTTGAAGTTATTTCCATTGACTTCCTTCATCTGGAGAGAAGTAAAGGGGGATATGAATACATCTTGGTGGTAATCGATAACTTCACAAGATTTGCCCAAGCATATGCAACCAGGGATAAGTCTGGTAGAACCACAGCTGAGAAGATCTTTAACAACTTTGTCCTTCGCTTTGGCTATCCCCACCGCATCCACCATGATCAAGGCGGCAAATTTGAGAACAAACAGGTGTGGCAAGTTTGAGAACATCACCCTAACACCCTAAAGGGAACGGCCAATGCGAGAGACTGAACCGGACTCTTCTGGCAATGCTAAAGACGCTCAACAAGGAACAGAAGGCAAATTGGAAGGAGTCTCTACCTAAGGTCGTCCATGCCTACAACTGCACGCCAAATTTTTCCTCCTGTACGGAAGATCTCCTCGCTTGCCAGTCAGTTTTGCCTTTGGCCTGAATCCAAATACTGGAACAGGTACCACAGATCACAACCAGTTTGTGAGGAACTGGAAAGCCCAAATGGAGGAGGCATACTCCATAGCCGCACTCCAAGCTGGTAAGTCCACCCAGCGAGGGAAGACATACCATGATCGTAAATCCTACAGCTTTGTCCTTCAACCTGGAGATTGGGTACTGGTCCGGAATGTGGGCAGACATGAGGGCCCTGGGAAGCTTGTCTCTCACTGGGAAGACAATGTCTACGTTGTCGTGTGCAGAAAAGGAATTGACTCCCCTGTGTACGAAGTCCGTCGGGAAAAGGGTAACGGCAAACTTCAAGTCCTTCACCGCAATCTCCTTTTGCCTTGCAACAGCACTGGACAATGATCCACAGCCGAGCAACACCTAGCGGAGAGGTACACCCAAAGCGACTTCCAATCGACAACCTTGCCAGATTTCTTCTCCCAGGTCTGGTGACTCTAGTTCCGACGAGGAATCTCCTGTGGTCCTTCTTCCGCGTACTCAAAGTCAGCAGTCCTCCGGTACTCACATGCACCGGGTGACTCTGGATCCTGCAGCAGTACCCTTTGAACCAACACAAGTAGAAGACCTTGTTCAAAGCCCAGTGGAGGATCAATTTGAAGCTGTTGGCGGAGAACGTTT